GAGTTCTCAGTGAGGAAGTTATCAAGAGCCACACCAAGGTCATCTTTCTTGTAGCCGTCGATACTGCATATACGTGTCAGCACAAGAGTGTTTCCTTAATCGCGTGGAGGGGTCATGATGGTAGAGTGGGCGCGTCGCAAAAGCGCTTGGACATGCTTGGGCGCAAAATAAGAACAAATAAAGATGATGCGGGCGATATTGGAGAACGAGTGGTGCTCGCGAAAAACGGCACGTATATCAGTAGACCGGGGTGGAATAAACATACTCTGAGAGACCAACAGACTCGGCAAGATTCTCGAGTTCGCCTTTCTTCTTGGTCTTCAGCCAAGAGTTGTATCTGTGGTTGGACATGTTGGTGGATAGGTTGAAAGCAAATGCGCATAAAGTGAATTTCAGCAATTGACAGGGCGTTTGTTGCAAGTGAAAGTAGAATATTTATACGGAGTGGGAGACTGGGCCACGGCCAGAAGGAGAAAGTGAAGCTGGTGATGGTGATGAGGAACAGAGGTACAAGCTCGAATGTGTTGTTTGGGGGGGGTTCCACGTTGGATGGGGGACGGCTGATGGCTGATGGCTGATGGCTGATGGCTGATGGCTGATGGGCTGGAGAAGAACGGAAGGGCCCGTGTCAAGTGTCAACAATGATGAGCGGCGGGTCCAGTCCCTTGTTTATGTTTTTTTTTACTCTCGTGTCTTCCCCTTCGATCTGATGGTCATGCCCCGCAGGAAAGGTGTGGATGGTTTTGTTGTGAGAGAAGCGCCCAATAAAAGGATGGAAATTTGGAGCTCCTAGGGGCTTCCAGCTAGGAAATAGATATCGATGCTATTGACGTTCCACTTCCATTTCTTCTAACAACTGAAGTGTAACTCGGGCCGGGGCTCTCTCGCGTAAAAAATGACCTCATTATCCGCCAGCCATAGATTTTGAAGGAGCTTCGTTCGAGTGGGGAGCTCTCTATTCCATACAATCCGATCTAGGCCGATGACAACATCTGCCACAATCGATATTATTCACGATGTCAAATTTGGGTTTTTGGCAGATGTCAGTATAAAAGATGTAGTCATGCAGGCATTAGACATCCATAGCAGTCGAGTACTGACAGTCAAGAGATGAAACAGAAAGACGATACGGGTTGTAACTTGATCATCAGTGCTCACACTCAAATCAGCGATGGACATGTGCCGGTCAGGCTGGTTAAGAGAGGACGAGCAATAATTATGAGCTGAATTTGAACACATGGCCAATGGAAGTGTTCCCACGATGCCTGCATAATACATCCATACTAAACTCGTGATTGGAGCTGAGATGCGGTTCCAAGTTGTGTTGATTGGACTACACCACTTGGCTCAAGGTACAGGACAGTCCTAGCATTGATATTTGTTAGCCGAGCTCTGAGGGCACGAATGGATTTATATGCTACTACCACCAGCATATTTGATCTAGTATAAGTGTGTTTTCTTCGTGTTGCTGCTCGACTGAGCTTTGGCGTAGTTATACCTACTTCGCGCTTTGCCTCTCGGTTCATTTGCTCATCACTAGCTCAATATTCTGTAGCCAACTCCAGGAAGTACTCCTTGATCAAAAACACAAGCGTAGCAATGATCCCTTGCTAAGAAATCCGTCAGCCAAGGCGTGATCTTGGCCCTTCGTTGAAAGGAGATGGACGAGTCTACCTCTGGCCGAAAGGGATGTGTGCTTGTAGCAGGGCTCCTAAATTCTTCATCTCGGGGCTGGCACCCTCTGAACCTGTTGGTCTTGCTATTGATTCCTGGCTCTTTCGATACCACAGCTCGGAGACCCATTCGTCAATGTCGTCTTTGCCTCCGTTAATCAGGCTTGGTCGTCCCGGCCACCACCGTGGATTACGGTACGACGATATGAATGAAGACTTCTTTGCGGTACTGAGTTGTCTGCCAGCTCCAACAACTAAGCTGAGGCACATCTGCCTTCTCTCATGTCCTGCAGCTAGCAAACCTAATAAAGGTGTTTCCACGAACATCATCCTGTGTTATTGTCCCTTTTGTGCAGCTCTGTGCCTTGCGGGCGAGAACCGACATCAGTACTACAGCTAGATCTTTCAGCCAGCCCATGAGGCCCATGCCATCTATACTCTCAGCTTGGCAGGCTTCAATAATCTTTTCGTCGATCAGCTTCTGCATATACTAACCAAACTCTCAGGAAGATTTTGCCGCAATTTGAGTCCTCGCGAGCGGCAACAGCACTATTGTTGGTTAGCATTGATGATTTAACATAGCTTCGTGCTGCACTTAAAGAGAAGCCAGTATGTTCAGGGGAAGCATAATAATATTCTTCGAAGCGGTTGCAACCTACCTACCTTAGTAGGTAGGTACCTAATGGTCGCAGCAATACAATGGACTTAAGAGATCCATACTTACCTAGTCATCTTTGGGTCAGCTTTTGAGGGCAGTGACTACCTTACCCAGGCGATATTCCGTAGACTTCAAATCCGGGAAATGCGAAAACATTCGTCGTCTGCCTCATTCTATTTTGGTTGAGTGAAGTGATGGTACCGCTATCCCTCCCGCCAGTTCCGTCGACATTTCTACCAGTACTTGGGCCTTTTGAATTAAAGCTCTGAGTAAAATGGCAGTATCGATTTTGAACGAACCCTGTATTGCTTTTCTTTGTACCTCCAAGTCCCCCCTTCGACGGCAAGGACATCATCGCTGGATTGACGTAGTTTCTCATGTTTCGATGCACACTTTATAATATGCTCTTGTCGAGAACATATTTTCCGAATAGCCTCGGCATTGCAGGCCACCAGGAACAAAATCCCTGGTGACTCTACAAGAAAAATGTCTCTTCTGCTGGTGAACCCTTCATGCCCTTCACGATAAGGGACCTTAAGTGTGAAGACTCTGGGAAGCTATCGTGTTAGCAACAGCCTAAACACGACACCGTCTACTTACTCGAGCTAATATCCCTACCAGGACTGGACTTTGATGGTTAACGGACGAAGCTGCAAAACCAATGAGTAAGCTGCAAAACTTGTGAAGGCTATGGGACGCTAGAACAATATAGAATAGAACGTACGAGCAATACTATAATACCCGCCATTTTGTTTTCAAAGCACAGTGGCTGTCTGGATATTACTCATAAATGTATATATAATACACGGGATAGTTGTCTAAATTGGCAATATAAATGCCTAGACAATTGGCTGATTACAAGTGGAGTATAAGTTCTTGTATAGGGTAACCTCAATCGTATTGACGGAACTAGGTCTGCTGCTGAGTTAAAAAGTACAGGCCTGATGAGGTAGGTGTCTGCAATATTGCTATTGAGGGTGACGGGCAGGCAACAATAGAAACCGAAAGGATCGGGGTTCGTATTTGGTGAAGGAATCCTGGGTCTGTCTTTTGTCCTCCTGTGCATTGGGTAAGGCGCTGGCCACTGCAACTAACACGTCGACTTACAGTATGAATGGCTATCATTGATGATACAAGTTTAGCATCTAGACCTAGGTGCGTCAGTTGAAACTGGTACGATTTGTTTCTTGGTCAACTCCAGTTGCTCATGCTGCAGGTAGGCAAAGACAGAGGACATGTTTTTGTCAATATTTACTATATGGCTGGGGACAGTAAGATTAAACTGAGCTTGTACTGATCAAATCATAGGTCTAATAGAGAACTTGAGATGGTATTGGTCACAATGGGTAACAGTACTACACTACGGTAACAGTGGGTAAAAAGGTGATTTGACTGTGCAAGAAGAGATCATAATAACTGAAGGACATGAATCTGGTTGAAGAGTACGAGACATGGCAGCACCTGTGGATGTAATTCATGTAGAAGCACCAGGACAATTGACTATATATGCTTAGTATTCTACGAGTCAATACATTAGTCGTTTCCACGCGCATCTTCGTAGAGCGACAGGGACGAGAAGAATATAGGACAGCTTTCTTCTATACGTACCTATATAAAGGGTCATATCAACCTCCAGAGGCGATTTGATTAATTTTAACATTAATTTCCTCTGACCTAGGTATAGTATGGGGCATCCAGGGCCCGAATAAGCCGTTGGAACCATCGTGATCAAGACACCGTTAAATGATTAACACTGAGGTCATAGAATAATGACAAATACCGTTCAAGTCGCAGCTACAGAAAAGTTATGTATCAACCCAATGCTGATCGCCATTTCACCCTGAAACCCATCCATAAGGTAGGTACTTAGGGAGGTATTTTATATGAGGATCTGGTCAAGATGCGTACATGGCGGTCATGGATGGAAGCTATCTGCCAGACTATAAGATCCTGAAACCCACGCGTCTAAACGCCCGCAGCGCCTCCGACCTCAGTACTGCTTTCCGCACCGCAGGTGCTCCGTACCTATGTATAAATAAGGATGCTCTAATTAACGCCTATACCGCTTCTAGTTTAAAGCTTACCGGGTAGACTCGAAATTCAGTGGAGCTCGATTCTTGCTTGTCCATCTCAACGCGCAGCGAAGCCTGGACAGATCTTCCATCCGCGACTGACTTGACAAGGGTTAGGTTGCTTGTCTCCCGAAATTTTGGTACATGGACCTCGATTAATAAAGGGTGTCAAACTCCCTCTGAACCCGATATTTACTGTCCGACACAAGTCTCGTGACGGCGTCAATAACGCTGTACAGCAAACACTTTTCGACTACAGTACTGAAATCCTCTCGCCTGTTCCACCATTCACCCTTCTTCATCGACCGCTTGTTTAGTTCGTCACCACCCTTGGCCGCGCGACCAACATACGTGCGTGCGACGCTTGAAGACCCCCTTTACGAACCACACACTCTGTACTTCCCTGTGACAAAAGAACGACCGCACCTAGATCGCCATTTCCAAGTTTGATTATTTTCCGTTCCTTTCAGCATGTTTTACGTGGCTGCCACAGTTGAACACATAATACCTTTTTTCAGCTTGCACGTTGTCCTTGCCAATTAGGTGGTATAGGATAAGACTACCACCAGACCTTCGAATCGACAGCGACAACTCGTCATGACGCAACATCGACCAGATGGGGATGTCTCCCCCATGGACATCAGTCCTCGTTCAGTTTCCCCAGAGAACCCGAATCTCCAACCTGGTCCCCCATCTGTTTCCAAATCAACCTCCGATACTCTCCTACCTCCTGTCGGTCTTAAGATCACAACCTTGTCAAACCCTCCAGGGTCGACCAAAGAAACGAAGCCAGCTCCAAACGAATTGGCTTCCGGTCACGGCAAGGCACCTTTATCAGCCATACCGAGATCCACCCCAGCTTCAACCAAGTCGCTCAAGGACCATGGCATCAGCGACCGAGACTTTGGCCTGGCCGTTGACGGTGACGGACAAGACAATAGTCAGGCGCCCTCGAGGCCGAGCATACAGTTCACCCGCCCAGATGGCGTCGATACACCTCCAACATTTATGCGAGGTAATTCATGGGAAGAGCCAGAAACCCCAGGCAAATCTCGTGGTGCCTCATTGATGTCCAAACTCAAGGCTCTCACCAACAATAGTGGCGTGTCGACACCAAAGTCATCTACTGTAGCTGGACCTTTGAGTCAAGGCAATCAATCAAACATCAACTCTCCGACGCGACCGAGCCGTGGAATCCCTGGTACTTTGACAGAGGAGGACACTGACGCCGATGCCGACGCCGAGGAAACAGCCGATGAGGGCAGCCCCGGAGACGGCAAATCAAAGAAAAAGAAACAGAAGAGGAGGATGCGCCGCACAAAGAAGGCAACCAATTCTACACCCGGAACGCCTCGGCGCTTTGTGAGCGACATCGATGTGTTGGAGAGCTTCGACCAGCTGGTTAAGCGCCGTGCAAGTATGCCCGATACAACTGTCCCTGAGTATGGTGTCTCTGAAGGCGAAGGCAGAGACCGCTTGGGCATGGCTTTCCGTAGAGGAAACTCTTGGATGACTTCGGCTGTGCGACACCATGGCGAGGAAACTGATGAAGTCGAGAGCCCTGGAGCGGTCGGACGACGAACAGGTCATGTCCGCCGAATTACCGTTTTTGGTGGTGGAGGGGTTTCGGATGGTGATGCTATGACACCTCGACGTCCCTTCTTCACTTCTGAACGTGCGTCTACTTTCGGTGCTCAGAAGTGGAAGCAAGTCAAGAACACACTCAAACTCCTTCGACAGAAGAAAGAAGACCGTTTTGACTATTTTAAATCGGCTGAGTTGATGGCCGAACTAAGGGCTGGTGCTCCTGCCGTTCTTATGCTTGCTAGCATGATACAAAGAGATGAACACGGGAATAAGAGGATCCCGGTTCTTCTTGAGCAGCTCAAGCTTCGCATTACCGATAGCTCTCCCATGGAGGATGACGACAAGGACCGACACTGGCTATTCACTATAGAACTGGAATATGGCAGCGGACCGAGTAGAATGAGTTGGACTGTAACTCGAACGCTTAGAGATATCTACAATCTACATTTGCGTTACAAGTTTGCTATCAACAACGACAAGTACATGCCAGGGCGCATGGACTTGGGTGGCCGGCCGAAGCAACCCAAATTTCCATATTCGGCCTTCCCCTATCTTCGCGGTGCTCGCAAGAAGGGAGAAGAAAGCGACGAAGAAGACCAAGCCAGGGTTCGCGGAGAAGAAGAGACAGCTGGCGAGGGTACAGCAACTGAAGCAGCAGGAGACGGCATTTTCAGTGACCACGAAAATCCCGGTGGCCTCCCACGAAGGAAGTCTCGCAATTTCCTGGGAATGGGCCCGAGGCGCAGATCCACAGGCATTACCGATCCTGGGGATATGTCCAACCCAGAGGGTCCAGGAATGCCTGCTATGGACATGGCAACGAGGAGACAACGTTATGTTGAGAAGCAACGGCGTATTCTTGAAAAGTACTTGTCTGAGATGATCAGATGGTTAATGTTCAGAGCTGACAGCAACCGACTCTGTCGCTTTCTCGAACTCTCGGCACTTGGCGTTCGCCTCGCCGCCGAGGGTAGTTACCACGGAAAGGAGTGTTACCTTCATATCCAACCTTCGAAGGGTCTAGACTTTCGCCGTGCTTTGACACCAGCCAAGGTTATCTCTCGACACAGTCGGAAATGGTTCCTTGTACGGCAGAGCTATATCGTCTGCGTAGAGTCCCCCGAAAACATGAACATTTTTGATGTGTACCTAGTCGATTCGAAATTCAGTATTTCCTCGAAGCGAAGTAAGGTCAAGGCGATTGGCTCCGCTGAGAAGAAGGCTGAGATCGATTTGACCGTGGAGGCACCCCCTGACAAACATCACACTATGACCCTTCGCTCATCCGAACGCAAGGTCCGCCTCTTCTCCCGCAACCAATCTGTGATGAAGCAGTTTGAGGACTCCATCAACCAGATGCTCAAGCAAACACCATGGTATCAGAACAAACGATTTGACAGTTTCTCTCCTGTGCGAAATCATGTATTTGCCCAATGGCTCGTCGACGGCCGCGACTATATGTGGAACGTTTCTCGAGCTATCAATATGGCCCGCGATGTTATTTACATCCACGATTGGTGGCTAAGCCCCGAGCTGTACATGCGCAGACCAGCAGCTATCAGCCAGAAATGGCGACTGGATAGACTGCTGCAGAAGAAAGCTAGAGAAGGGGTTAAAGTCTTTGTCATAGTATACCGAAACGTCGAAGCTGCCGTTCCGATAAATTCCGAGCATACCAAGTTGTCATTGTTGAACCTCCACCCTAACATCTTTGTACAACGGTCCCCCAACCAATTCAAGAAAAACCAATTCTTCTTCGCTCATCACGAGAAGATCTGCATCGTGGATCACGATGTAGCCTTTGTTGGAGGAATTGATTTGTGCTTTGGACGATGGGATTGTCCTCAGCATCCTATCGTCGACGACAAACCAACTGGATTTGAGATGTCTGAGACACCTAAGGATGCAGAGCATTGCCAGTTATTCCCCGGAAAGGACTATTCAAATCCTCGAGTGCAGGACTTCTTCAGGCTCAACGAGCCGTATGAGGAAATGTACGACCGAAGCAAGGTACCTCGCATGCCCTGGCATGATGTTGCTATGCAAGTTGTTGGCCAGCCTGCAAGAGACTTGACGCGCCACTTCGTCCAGCGTTGGAATTATCTTCGCCGAGGACGGAAGCCTACACGCCCGTTACCGTTCCTGCTCCCCCCGCCGGACGCTAATGTAGATGAGTTGAAGGAGCTGGGTCTAACTGGCACTTGCGAAGTCCAGATTCTCCGATCTGCCACCACTTGGTCATTGGGGATCGAACAGACTGAGCACAGTATTCAGAATGCATACATCAAAATGATCGAGGAGTCAGATCATTTTGTCTATATGGAAAACCAGTTTTTCATTACCAGTACTGAGGCATATAACACCAGAATCGTGAACCGTATCGGCGACGCTCTTGTTGAACGAATCATACGGGCTCACGAGAATGATGAAGACTGGCGTTGCGTTATTGTTATTCCTCTCATGCCTGGGTTTCAAAATACAGTCGATGAGCAGGAGGGTACAAGTGTTCGCCTGATCTTGATGTGTCAGTACGCTAGTATTTGTAGAGGCGAACAGTCTATCTTTGGCAGGCTTCGAGCCGTTGGCATTGAGCCGGAAGACTACATCGCCTTCTACTCGCTTCGTCAATGGGGAGTCATGAGTAACGATGTCCTTGTCACCGAGCAGCTCTACATCCATGCCAAGACAATTATCGTTGACGACCGTGTCGCCCTTATCGGCTCCGCCAATATCAATGAACGATCAATGCTTGGCAGTCGTGATTCGGAGTGTGCTGCGATCGTTCGAGATACTGATATGATCAACTCGACAATGGCTGGAAGACCTTACCAAGTTGGCCGCTTTGCTCACACACTCCGACTCCGACTGATGCGAGAACATCTCGGCCTCGACGTTGACGAAATACTTGAGCAAGAGCGCCAGGCAGAGCTGGACCGTCAAGATTTTGAGAAAGAGATGGAGGATATATATAACGAAGAGAATGGTGGTCCTGCCGATTCCTCAAAGCTTTCACCGAAACGCCCCGATCACCTACGCATTCCAAGTATCAACCATGATCTAGATGCTGCAGTTGAGATTAAAGACGACAGTAGCAGCAGCAGCAGCAGCAGCAGTAGCGACAGTAATGCAGAAGTGGATAGTACTGTCATCAATCAAGCAGAGGATAAGGTGAAGCATGAGCTGGACGTTACCGGTTATGGGCCTGACCGTTGGAAGACTGCCGAGAAATCTGGCCTTGATGCCGGCCGCGATTCTGTTATCATCAACGGACGCGAAGTCCTTGTTAGCAATATCAGTAATGAAGGCAAGGGAACACTGCAATCACCCAAGGAAACACAGTCACACATTCCCCAGCCCGATAATCGATATCTGGACCCAGGAAACCACAACGACAGCCTCCCCCCTGTGCCAGCTCTAAATCGTCGCACTACAGATCAACTTGGCCTGCCCCGTCCCGCACAGCTGCCGTCTTTGCCGATAAGCGACGATACTGACATTGGCGGCCCTCCACTACATCTCGATCCTGAAACGGGAAAACCGGTTAATGGAGTTTTCCATCCGGTGGCCGCAGATATTCATTTAGCACACATTGACAAAGACTGTATGGTAGATCCAGTCAACCCCAACTTTATTGACGAAATTTGGAACCGGGCTGCTCAAAACAACACGAAGCTCTACCGCCGAGTGTTCCGTTGCATGCCGGATTCCGAAGTGAGCACTTGGGCAGAATATCGAGAGTACACGACCTACGGCGAGAGGTTCCGGGCAAGCATGGAAGGTGGCCGATCAAGAGGTGAAGACTCGGAATTTCCTCCATCCTCGAGACATCGTGGATCCACTGCGGGTGGTGTTGGTGTTAGTGCACCAGGACCAGAGGTGATGGCCAAGGCCGTTGAAACTGAAGCGGAGAAGGCAATCGGAAGAATGGTCGAGAAGCTCCCTCTTGGCCACCATGAGGAGGATAGAATCAAAATCGTCATTCCTGACGAGAGCCAGCGTGATGCTGATGAAAAACAAGCAATGAAAGACGGCGATGCTATATCATCACGACCCACCACTGGGCTGGAGAATGAGAATGGTCCTGATGCACATCAACATACAGAGGCACCATCTCCAGTCTACTCGCCGGGAGACACCCCATTCCCTGCCTTCGATGGAGGCAGTAGTGGAAGATACCTGGACCCGCAGACAGGTACCAAGGACAGAGAGAGGCGCACTACTTTTTCGACGCTCGAGAAACCATCCTCAAGAGATACTAATGCCCCTCCACCGGGGCAGTTTGGCTCAGTGAAACGCAGACGCCGTGCAACTACTAAGAACAGCCGACGTGGTTTTAGTATTGACGACATGCCATCACGGGGGCAGGCTGAAGAGCTTTTAAATATGGTCCAGGGCACTATCGTGCAGTTCCCTTATGATTGGCTCCTTACGGAAGAGCAAAACGGGAACTGGGGTTACCAAGTCGATGGCGTTGCCCCCTTGGCAATTTAGTAAGTCCAGCTCTTCGAATGTACGGCAGAATACTGACAAAATAAAGCAACTAGCAGTGACCCTGACCCTGCTGTCCTGCAGATGGTGTATTCTGACTCTAACTTTGCAAAAGGCATGGCAAGGAGTTTGACCAGGTGGTTTTGCACTTTGTTCATGGGAAGCATTCGACAAGCGCGGCCATCCTCTCTCACACGCGCTTGTTTCTTTCTATCTCGTAGTTCCTACTCATACATGTTTACCCATGGAGCCTCGCGTAGGCTTATATTACAATTATAATACATTTGATTCGTGGCTTCAAACCTTTTCGCTTACCCAGATAGCACCTCGGCAACCTGCGCGGATGACGCCAGTGAGAAGCCAATGAGGTTCTGCCTTTTGTGCATCATGCGCTACCGCATGATCGAGATGCTCCAGTTCTTCGTCTCGTATCACTCTGAGGGTTTTGACAAGATCTGATAGCTCCTCGCCCACTTCGTAGCCCTCGGCTTCCCATTGCGTAACCATTTCCAACAATGTCCGAATTTGTTCGTTGTAGTGGCCACCAATCTCTGTCTCGACAGCTTCTGTACAAGCCATCGCAGCTTCGTAACCGAGCATAGCAGTAGACCAGCCCAGACCGGTGGCCATGACGGACCACAAAGGATACAGAGCAGTAGGGCGAATTCGATGCTTGTGAATGAGGCCATTGAAGGTCTTAAAGTGACCGTCTTCTTGATCATACATGTGCGCCATCAGCTTGCGAAGATGAGGCTTTGATCGGAGAAGGATGGGTGACTGGGCAGCATAAATGAGGACTGCAGCAAGTTCACCAGCTTGGTTGACACGAAGCTACCAGTATATCAGTCACCAATCAAACGAATTTGTGTGGGAGTCCTACAGCTGAGTCAAGAAAATCACGTTGCTCCTGGGTGAGTGCTTTGAGCTTCTTGGGAGACCCAGACGTTGAATCTGAGGCTGGAGCCGTGGCGATGGTGCGAACACATGGCTTGTAAAGACTAGATGTTGATCGCACGAGAAGAGAGCGTAAAGGCTTGGCAAGTGACCTAGATAAAGACATTATTGTTACACAGAGATTGACCTACTTCTCAATCATCAATTGATGGCGGGCCCCAAAATCGAATGATGAGCCTGGACATTCTCGGTGAGCAGGCCGCTCACCGAGAGCGGACTAAAGCTTCCCCGATAGTCCCGTCGCACCAGCCACACACGTGCAGCAGTATGACATAACCTTGGCCAATGAGGTGTTGGGTGGAAACCACGAATTCAGAACAAGCTGCTCAAGGAGAAGCTATTGTGCACTTCTGCTTTACGCACAATCCTCTTCTCTTCCATCCACTTTCGCCTCTTTCATCGCTCAATCCCCGCGCGCACGATTACGCATCTCCCTCGACCCCTTTCCCTCGCCAAATTCCTACCCGGTTCACCTAATACGCGTAGAACGCGGTTGCGCCTGGGGATACGATTGTTGTCTTTGAAAGCCATTGCGTTCTGTGCCGTTGCTGGCTCACCACAAGGCCGCCATGTCTGACGTTGACGACGAGCTTCTCGCTCTCGCAGGTGGGGATTCCGATGATGAAGCCTCCGGCAACGAGAGCAGGGGCGGATCGCCATCGCCGCCTCCAGCGAAAAGAAGTGGTTCCAAGAAAGGGGCGGGAAAGAAGTCGCGACGAGGAAACAATGACTCCGAGGAGGAGGGCGAGGCGTGAGTGATGTTCCTCAAAATTGATAGCATGATGATCTGGAGCTTGAACACTGTCCTGGCCCCCTAATCCGCATCCTGTTTGCGGCTCCTCCAGATCACTGTGATATCCTTGCAGTATGCTGACCCATCGCGATTTAGGTCTGCGCCAGGAACGCCAAACTCTCTTGAGTCCGCTCCTATGGATGAATCTGACTCCGACGACGAACCATCGCGAGGTCGAGCAGCGGCAGCAGAAGACGACGATGAGGCCTACCCAATTGATGGTCGATACAAGAGTCAGAAGGAAAAGGCAGAGATCATGGCCTTGCCGGAACTCGAACGAGAGCAGCTTATCGCTGAGCGTATGACGGACATAGAGCGTCAGCGACAGAACCGCCTGCTCCGTCAGATGGTAAGCAACATGGAGAATGAGGAGCGCAAACAGGTCAAAAAGAAACGCAGTGCTGGAACTGCGGAGCTGGAAGATGGCGATCGAAAGGCATCACGGCCGCGCACAGAGAGCAAGAGGGAGACCGCGATGGACTCTTTGCGCCAAGCTAAGGCAGAGAAAGCACGTCGACGGGAGGATCTCGAGAGACGGAAGGATAATTACTCTCCACGCAGACGCAACTCTGGGGCAGAGGACAGTGACGATGACTATAATCGCGGACGCTCCCCAACTCCCGATGCCGACGAAAATCGCGACCAACCGCCAGCTGAGTTACGCGATTATGAACGAGTTCGATTGGGGCGAAACGAGTTCGCTCAGGTCTGCTTTACCCCTGGATTTGAGCAGGCTATCACTGGATGTTATATACGTATTGCTCTTGGGCCGCATCCTGAAAGTGGCATTGAACAGTATCGCATGGCAGCCATCAAAGGTTTGTAACAATGAGTACAATACAGCAGCAGGACTAACATTTTTCATAGGCTTCACGACCAGTCGCCCATATGCTCTTCAGGGGCCCAACGGCGCGTTCGTCACAGATCAGTATGTCAAGGCGGCGCATGGTAAGGCAATCAAAGAGTTTCCTTTCATCGCTGCCTCAAGCGGAAAGTTCACAGAGGTACGTTGAACTGGAACTACTCTATTGGGTTGATACTGAACTGGCACCACAGAACGAGCTCAATCGATACAAGGTCACATGCCATAATGAGGGCGTGACACTCCCAAGCAAGGCTTACCTTATGGACAAAATTGATGAGATCAATGGCCTGATCAATCATTCTTGGACCACAGAGGAAATCAAGGCTCGACTTGCACGGATAAAAGAGCTGAAAAGGCGATTTGACCCCGCCGAGCGAGAACGCATATCCCACTTACTCGAGGAAGCAAGACAACGTGGTGAGCACGATAAGGCCGAAGAGTTACAGGAGGAGCTCGACAACCTTGGTTCCCAGCGCTTAGCATTTAGGACGAGTCTGGGCTCCTCGAAGCACAACGAAGTACCCAAGGCCCAAACTGAGCAAGATCGACTGGCTGAGCGTAACCGAGAGAACCGGCGATTGAACGCGGAAGCTGTACGAAAGGCCCAGTTGAAGGAGAAAGCGAAGTCGAAGGAGATCGAGGCAGCCCTCAAACGTGGTGAAACCTACCAAGGTGACATGTCAAGACGACTTAGGACCAAGGCCAAGTTCGTTTATGATGCTAACGAGAAAGTGGAACAAAAGCCAGCGGCCAACGGTAGCGGGACCAACACTCCTGGGGCTAGCACACCGAAGGCGACCTCCAAATCCCAACTACTACCTCATCTTGCAAAGCTGCAGGAGGAGAAACACAAGGAGAAGGGAATCCCTACTATACATAAGCCGCTGATGGATGACGATGTGATTGGGTCACTAGACCTGGATATTGACGTTGAAATCTGAAAGGGAATACAAAGACAGGGGCGGGGCGTCATGAGCAGCGTTTGGGTTGTTGTTGTCCTTTACACAGTGCGTTACGGCTAGAACCAAGAGACGGGGCAGGGCGGATTACTCCATATCTTAACACAGAGTTTACTTGAGCCCAAGAGGATTTGTGACCAGGTAGAGCTTGGTGGACGTCCAGTCACTATAATTCTGATGATCCATGGGCTGCTGTGCCGTGGTTGATACGTTGGCATGCTGTGACGGCTAGACCCAAAGGGCAGTTCTGGTATGAATGACCGCATATGTTGATTGTGAACACGCAAGGCTGGCAAGGTTGATGGGCGCATTGGCGCCAATTGTGAGTCTGGCGTAGTCCAGAAAGCCAGCAAGTTGTCCAAGTTTTATTGTTTGTCTTCAAAGTCAAGCGTTACCTAGGCCAGTAGTGACATCACTTTCTGTTGTCAATCATCACATCTCGTCTACTATTTATCCAAGCTCCGGCGGTCTCGAAGGAAATCAAACTTGCCCTGCATCCTTCTGAGAACATGGTAGGCCATCATCAAAGTCTCAGTCAGGATAACGAGGGCTACCATCTCAGCCTTCTTCCTTATCCTTTCAGTGAGAGCCAGCTTTGGTCTGACGAGCTTGCCATCCATCTCGTTCTCGAACCTTTCGCACATCTCGAGGTACAAACCAGGATTGTCAGTGATGACACCATCTATCAAGGCAGGCCCCTCGATCTTTCCATTGCGGCGCCGTGGATGACACAGATTCTGACGGATACACCATTCCATGTGGCGAGGTTCGTTGACCGTCCACGTCATAAGAAGCTTATCAGTCTTTCCAAGTTCGCGTAAGAAGAGTCTTCCTGATGGACCGATGAGAGTCTTGTGGTTGAGATTGAAGCCGAGGTTGGGCACGCGCAGAAAGTGGTGTGAATATAAGAGGGAGGTGCTGATATGGGCCAATGGATAGGTTGGAAGTTGACTACGCGCAGCCTGTAGGAATGATGCCTGTTGAAGCATGTCAGCTGCAACATCATCAAGGCGTCTATGTGAAAGTGTAGAAACTGTGCCAGGGGCGTCAGCTTAGCTAAGTAGGCAATGCAGCTTACATTCCAGCATCCCAGAATAATACGTTGATCCCATGGCACAGGTGCCTGGACGGCGTCTAAATCCCTCGCAATTGCAGCCATCAACTCTGCCGGGTCATCGTCCAGCTGGGGGGCCTGCATTAGCTTCCGTCTTATGACACATGCTTGAGCTTGAGCTTGAGCTTGAGCAGATGCAGATGCAGCGGACCTTGATATCTAAAACCACCCAAATGTCTTGCATTTCCGGCTGGATTAACCACTGAAGGAAGTCTTTGAGCCGCGGCATAGGTTCATGAGGCTCGGCTACTGTGCGTAGAGTGCTGAGATACTCCCACGAGCACTCTCCAATGCGAGCTTCAATGCCAAAGCAGCGTT